TGTGTAAAGTGGTCGACGACATGATATCGTCCTTGGTTTCCTGCTCACGAAGAAATCATTCATTTGCGGCCATCGGATCAATCTAAACCGCTCGAAACGACAATGTTTTCGGCAAATGCATTTCATAAAATATGACAATGCCATCAGCACCAGAAGCAACTGTAATCTGACGATCCAGAAGAAGAAGGCATGCCTGCGAAATGATGGATATGCCGCTCACACGAGCTTGCGTCAAGGACATTGCGAGATTAAAATCTCGTCAAGGATCTGGTTCAGGAAACGATGTTTGAAATCTTGGGTGACCACACTTGTTACCTTCTAGTGAATAAATCTGAGCTCAAGTGCAAACAAACGCGGACGCTCGTCTTATCAGCTGTCGATAAATAGCTGGCCAACAGGGTGCTTCAGTGCCGAACGAAAATGTGTAATAAATGGTAAATAAATAAACAAAGCAAACGCAAGCAGTTTCATCTACTAAGCGGTGTCCGCGATAAGCAGCCGCTGTCGTTTACTAGTGAATGGTTTCAGGAAATCCAAAATTTTCATGGCTTTGAGCAGATGATCGCCTACGGTGAAATCGGATTTGTGGACACCGTGCCGATGCGTGCGCTGTGTGGTGCGATAAGAGGAAGCTTGAAAGGGATCTCGCTAGCTGATTTATACAACATAATCAAAACGGCTTTCTTTTTCTGCCACTTCCCCGCGCCCGACAAGGCCATCAATCAGCGTCAAGTAGAATTATCGAAGAAGAGCAGGACTCGCGTGACCACTGATTTGACAAGCAACGTCGACAGCTCAGACAAACGCGATCCATTCATCATTTGACATGCAAAGAAACATCTTTTTACCAGAAATGACTGGCGATCAATTGGGTATCTTCTATTGAAGTAATCTAATATTATGATAGACGGGTGTTCTTGTAATGCTCAAGTTAGGTCAAATTGATATTGAGATGCGTGTTCGACAGCTCAACGTCGTACTCATCCTTGTTAATGCATCCAATTACAAATTGCGTGGCGCGGAACGGAACGGAACGGCTGCGCGTGACTAATAAGTTTCTATTCTCAATACAACATCGAATATGGAGCCAACTGAGACCAGGATCAAAGCGTTATTCAGGCGTCGGTATCGACATGAAAAGTTCTTCATCTGAACTACTAACGTCTCAATCCAACATCTACATGGTAGACCATGTCACAGCGATGTGATTGATCAAACTGTGCACGCAAAAGTTACAGAGCAAGGTGGCTACAAATCAATTCCATCACACCGTACTCGTAGTTGGTCGTAACGCCACATTCGGTACCACATATCAACGCTGACCAACAGCTGGACGTCTACTGTCATGGATGAGTAAATTATACTTCTTGACCAAATGGAACTGAACGGCTTCTTTTTCTTTGCGGATATAAATTAACGTAGATATGGAAGCATCACCGCTGCAATCCTGCTGAGTGTAGATGGGGATGTTGCAATCCTAACCACAACACGAAACAAAAGTAATAATGATGAACCTGCCGAGTCTAAAACCACGTGTAAAGGTTCCCCTGTTGCTCATCGACGTCTATGTTGGAGTTGGGTTGGCCGCTATATGAGCTGTGATTGTTACATGAGGAGACCATACAGATTCAGGAGGTCGTTTGGTGGAAGACATGCGTACTCTACACCAGCGGGTTCACGAGGTCTTCAGAGCCAAGAAGTAAAGCGCTCTCACTCAGATGTTAATCCTAGTTAGTTTGTAAATTATACGATGAAGTGGTAATTTAAAACATTTTTGACCCCATTTTCAAAAAACGATCCTTTTTGGCTGCACTAAGGCGGCATTGAATCTACCTCAGTGGCAAAGAAGTTGGTACCTAGCTACTTTTTACCAGCGAAGCTTGGTGGCATCGGCTTGTTCCAGTTGACTGCTTATATAGTATTCAGTATACACGTACACAAATTGTCTCAGCTCAGTGGCCAACTTTTGCACAGGTTCTAGTATTCGGAAGTCTTAAGACTTCGGTCAGCATTCTATGGAGCTGTGTACTTAAACTTAATCCATTGTCAGCCGTTTATAGGCCTACACGCTGCAACTTGTCGTCCTTCTTGCCAGTGTGCTAAATGTTGAGGATGCCGGCCAAATTGAATGATATCCAGCCCATTGTGCGAATTTGTTTCCTTTTTAAAGTAACCAAGTTTTGGGTGAGACCAAAGAAAATCTCAGTATTCTACATTGAGCAGTCATTAAAGCTAGAAAGTAGCACACATGCGGCTTACAATATCTTCTTTTAGTTTGCCACCACAAGCTTTTCACGAAAACAGACGAAAAGACCAAATTCATGCAAGCACATAGACAGACTGCGGCATGTTCGACTTGCTTGACCACCTGACTATTGCAGACTAAAGACAGGAAACATTCGATCCTCTCATTTGGTTTCAACCTAAGTGAGGAAGGATTTCTTGTGAGAGAAGAAGTGAGACGTTATCGTCCTTGTGTAAATATCACAGGGTTCTTTCTGTGCAAGGAGGTAAATGCTGTCTGACGACGTTTTGTCTTAACGCGGGTGCACACGTCTCCAAGTGATCCATCGACTCCAACCAGTCCAACGTATACAACACCTTTCAGGATCACTGAAGACTGTAAACCTTCTTCTCGATGGTTGAGATTTGGCATGTCAACACTCTGTCTTCAGCGAAGCTTCCGTAAGCACCTTCTTCATGGCTTGAAATTGAGCTTGATGGCAGGCTCGAAACAGTTGCGGCTAACTTGTCTTTGTTAGCCTTTAGTTCCGAAGCGAGTCCGCATTTTTATATAGTCCTTTCCGTGCTTTGTATTGCGAGTATTGATGATGCATAAGTGTTTCGTCGTACAAGACCGATGTGTCACCTGCGCTTTTGCCAACCTATTATACCACTTTTGTTTATTTTGTTATGGTGGAAAGTTGCAAGCAATCATGGAAGGTCCTGAGTATACTCGACTGTTTCGTGCCTCTCTTTCTTTACGTTGGGTGCGTACGTGCGCACTCTCTACAGAAATTTGACTGATGTGTCAGCATTGACAGCGTAGTGCAATCGAGTGGTCCCGCATTCTCGCAGATAGATTTTGGTATCACAATTTTGCAACGCTGGATCAGTATACGTAAAGAACTCACCCATGCGGTCCAACATCTTGTCGTCAACATCCAGCATGCACAATTGAGCTCGTCTTTTTACTGCCAAAATCCAACAGCAATTAAAACGTCGCTGCTTTCTCGCGTCTTCCACATCGATACGACCATTCCTCTTGAGCTACCGATGAAACGAGCAAACGAGGCAACCATCTACTTGAGAAAGAGTCAAATTCGGACACGAAGGTATTTATTACCAATGCCTTTTTACAAATAAGTGTATGTTTACTGAGTGGCCAAGTTTGCTGCCTACGTTTGTACAGGAACGGAGTCGGTGGATCAGCATATTTTTTATAAAAAGGATCATATTTTTTACCAGGGATCAAATTGGCCAGGTTTATTTATCTATCCTTTTTCTTTATGGTGCCAAAGTGGTAGCGATTCGAGGTAGCTCAATGAATGTGTCGGAAGACAGACGCGCTACAAATTTACTGAACTGTTTGAAGGAGAATGCCAAATCGAATTTCATACTTCAATGAGGCACATGAGCATTTCGAGGATCTGTATAGTCTGTCGCCACTTCTTCACTTGCAGTGCTCGCTGCAAGAGCGAATTCGGTTCCGTCGGATTGCTGACTGCATAAGATGGAACTCGACGTCGTCACGACTTGGTGGGTATCACATGCCCACTTTCACGAGTGCCGACTCGAAACTGTACGCTCGTTGACTGGCCAACAGAAAAGGTGACAACATCCCGACATCTCATACTTAACGAGAAGCACATGAACAGAACAGACGATCCGCTCGAGTCCTAGCCGGGTCAAGGCAAAGGCGAGCACGACCCGACTATGAGCGTACGAGAAGAATCAGCACGAGGCAGCACTATCAGTCGTCGATGCATGGAATGCAAGGAGCGCAAGCCAATGGTGAACGGCGAGTATGAATAAGCGCAACAAAACATATCGTAAACATATATTGTCGCACCTGACCGCACGTGGAGAAGCCTTGTTGGGACTACCACAATGCGACGTACCCGTGCGCTGCCTGTTGCGGGATAGCGCACACAAAGATGAGCGTGTGTCAACTTTGCGTCGTCCATGCCACAAGTCGAACACAGCTTCTGCGTGACCATTGAACCGATTGAGCCACTCACATTGTGCGAATGAAGAAGCAGAAGGCAGCTTGCCATCTTAGTATTATCGAGAGCGTAGAGCACGGCATGATTACTTTTTGCTGCTAGCTCCTGGCGAGCCATCGCGTCCAGCCTAACTGCTGATCCCAGACATTTCTAGTGTCCAACACGTCGCTGACATGACGTGGGACCGAACCGTCTGCTGCAGCCTCATGAAGTGCGTCTCAAACAATACCAGGCGCCTCTTTACCGTGCCGCATTTCCATCTGTTGGTACGGCAGCTGTTCTCCCCGCTGAAGCCGCCACGGAACCCTTCGTCCAAGACGCTATTGATGGACAGGAGAAGGGACTACGAACCGGACACGACGTCAGATCCGGTGTCGTCGTGCTAATCCGACTTGCTCGATAAATCAGGTCTCCTTGAACTGGGCTGCTGTAGTCGTTCCCGCGTGTGTTTGAATCTTTCTGGTCCGATAAGAGCAGAACCGATCGACAACTTCGTCGAGCTTCAATGTCGCATGTTCTACGACCGAAGAGCATCAACGTCTGCCAAGTTGTCGTTCTTTATAGCTGATCCCAGCGACTTACCCAACGTCGAGCATCGTACTATGTACAATCCGTATTCCGTGCGTGGCCCCATGGCACCTGCGCGAGCTCTTGACGCAGCCGACTCCCCATCCACTTACTTTCACAAACCAATCCGCTCACCACCACCACCACCACCACAATTTGCACACGAGTATCCGTCGACGCCAATCGCGTACTGACCGTCGTTCCAGAATGCGCGTCCTCTGCTTGGCACTCGTATCGGCTGCTGCTCTAGCCGCCAGTGCCCATGGACTTCAGGTCAAGTCCGACGTGGCTCTGTCGCTGGAGACAGCTGCCGAGGATCGGCTGCAACCCTTTGTCGAAGGCAAGACCGAGCGATTCCTGAAAAGCGAGGAGCAAGGTCTGCCGCTTGCGGTCACCTCGGCTGACTACGCGGCTCTACTGGGGCAGGAAGATGGCGTGGGCAGACGCTTGCGCAGCGCGGACAACGACTTCGAGTCTTTCGACGAAGAGAGGAGCAGCAAGAAGAAGAAGAAGAAGGGCTGGTTGGCCGGAGCTAAAAAAGCGATCAGGAAGGGTGTTAAGCGCCACAAAAAACGCCACGATGACGACTACGACTCTGACGAGATGCCAGCGTCGGGATCTACTTCAGATGTCGACCTGCCGTCCCCGCCTCCGCCCCCGAGGAAGAAGTCGTGGTTCAACTGGGGTTGGTAAGTCTGCATACACAGCGGACAAGTCGAGCTGACAGGTGAGTATCTTTACGTGCCAAGTTTACTCGAGCAGTTGTGCTGCGCCGGGGCCCCGTCCAGACGTCAGCTGAAGCGCGTTCACAGTTTCTCATAACTGTGAGCAGAAGTTCATGCGATGGTAATATAATGGTCGACCCTTTTGCATATTCGTTCTTGTAACAGTGCTGACTTCCATCGGACGTGGTCGTATCGATCCTATGTAGGTGGCGATACCACCACGACGGGCCGTCGACTGTCTTCTTTTTATGCGCTCGGCCTCATCTCCTCAGTCAGGTCATTACGCGATCACTGCCAAATATGGCGTCTGTCTGTCAGCAGTCCAATCGATCTAAATGTGTGCTTTGTCAGTCCGTACCTGCAAACAGTAGCGCTGTAGCTCACGTGACACAGTGTCTCTTCGTTTCCGATCGAAATGGCGTTCCCGGAGAATAGTATTCTCCGGCTGTGTGACAAGATGCCGCTTCATGGCGATGATGACACCGCGAAACGGTACTTTGTGCAGCTATAAGTACCACCAGCGACAAGAACAAAGACTCTGTGAGACCCCGTGCTCGCTATTTAAGCAAACAATAAGTGACGTGCGTGACGTACTCGCGTGCTAGTCGTTGAGTCGCTTCCTGGGGCACGTAAAAGACCTCAATGTCGTGCCGTGTATTCGAAAAGTGAGCTACGGGATCACGTTTCAACTCGTGTCGCGTCAGTTGGCTACATGCAGAGCATAGGTACACTACCGACGACTCGGGTATTCGTAATAACTATGTCGCCTACGTCGCATGCAGTCGCTTATCATCCGTAAACAAGAAGGTCCACACACACATGACACCGACAACTCGGTCTCTTGCAATAGTTGTTGTCTGGAAGGTTTGCATGGACTGAATCGACGATACACGTCCAATGACAACCCAAGACGCAGCTACCGAGCGCATGCACGAGCGTCGATCGCTGGGCCAAAAGGACTGCGTCCAGAGCAATAGGCTGCGGTAGCAACAAACAAAGCATTGCATTAGTGCAGCAGCCAGCTTTTGGTTTCGACCATCGCTTCATGCTTGATGCTCCTTCAATGTGAAGCATTGACTTGACTGCTGCGCGGGTCATGGAAGACAGATGTGATGGTTGGTGCTGGCCTCATGCAGAGGAGATTCAGCGACTGTCGAGGACGGATACCAACCCGGAACGATTATGCGCATCGCGACCGGAAACTCAGTGCACTGAGTTGACGTGATTGCAACGTGCGCAAACAATACGCACACTATTTGCTGCTCTGCACGCAGTGGCGATACCCCCACTTTCGCGTGGTGCGCGACATCATCACCTGACATACTTTGGAATGACATCAATACTACTGCACTAGCTTCGAGGTGCTTGCTGAGGTAGACGGTGCTGGTCGACTGTCTGAAATTCCATGGCGGACGGAAGCTGTGCAGAAGATCCAAGTGGACGAGCACATTCTGAATCGAAATTTGATAGACATTGCGTTGCTGGATGTCAAGAGACCTTGTCGAGCTCTTTCGCCATCGATGGGTAAAGAGCATGAGAAGCTCAAGAGCCGTGCTGGACGTTGTTGTAGCGTCAATGCATATTGTTTCGCAAGAAGCTATGGCCTTCTACTTTGCCCACCATGCGCTTTCTTCGTGCTTGCCCGTCCTGTCGGCCACCACCATCTGCCTGTAACTTTGTAGGGCGATCCATTCGTCATTGGCGACAGACAACATGTCAATGTCTGACTTCTTCGTGCTGTGCGCGTCACGATCGCTGAGTGGCTGCTCTACTTATAGTCAGGTAGACGCTCTTTATGGCGATCGTAGCGGCTTCGAGGAGGAGGTATGGGAACGAGACAACGTCTTGAGTAAGTCTTTACCATTGCCCTTGTGAACTTCAGCGTTGTCAAACGCTTCATGTTGACTTCGTGGCACTAAAAGCCCTTTGCGCGATTGCGGCTGGTTCCAATTGGAGCTGAGAGTCAAGAAGATCCTCAGTAGCACAGACTGCGTCGAAATGGTCTGGCAAGACCAGTGTTTGAAGTGCAGCGTAGGAGTGAGAATGGAGGCTGGCGTCACAAAAGCGAGCATGGGCGATGAACGAGGTTTGTGCAAAGAAGTCGGCTGACGGCCGGCCGTGCTTGCTCTAGAGGAATAGAAATCAAGAGCTCTGAGAAGCAGGACGTGCCTCATCGAAACATGAAGGACGATCGCAGAGACTAGAGATGGCAACCAAGCAACCATGAAGTCTTGTGAAGGCGGCAACGACGCGGAGGTTTGAGCCAAGTTTATTATGCCATCTACTGCGGTCGCGTTTCAGCGTCCATGCGAGCTGCTCGAAGTAGAGTACGACCGGATGTTTCGCGCTAGGCTAGAGAGCAACTGCCGTACGGACCAACTGCAACAGCACTAACATGCACGAGGTGGTCCTGTTTATTGCACGACGACCAAGCAGACATGATCAGCTACTGACAGGGCAGTTGAGGCTACGCAGATGGTTACTTCCTCTAGCATCAGTCAGTGCTCCACTGAAGGGTGTTCATGCTTTTTATGCTGCCAAGCATCGTACTGATCGATGGCTGTGCTCACATCTGTTGTTTACGCTAGAGGCAGCCACTGCTAGCACCTTGACAAAATCTAAATGCGCTGGCCACGCTATAGTCACTGTTGTGTAGCCAGACCTGCATGCTGAAGCAACTTGTCCTTGACATGGTATCCTCACGAAGCACTTTTCCTATAGCGAGACATCAACGGAGAGTAATGATGGGGTCTACAAATTCGATTTGCTTGCTCGATATCATTGGCACGCACTGGAGACCGGCCACGCGAACGGAAACGAATCGAGTCACCGTTCGTCGATCCTCATGCGAGATGTGAGGCCTCGGAGGCAAGAAGCCGATGCAACACGAAGCTGCTGCATTTCCAATGTGTCGCATTATCTCCGCAACGACGTCGTCGTGACTCACTACATTTTTTCGTAGCAATTACAATCATAAAGCTGACAACGAATATTTAAAAATATGCAACTATAATAAAGCTGATTTGTATATTTTAATGGAAGTCTTTATATGATATCATTTTAAGTTTGATATTTGATATGACAAAAAACTAGAGTAAAACTGCAGCAGCCTATCGTAGCATAAACTGTGGCTGAACCGTATAAGATAAAACCCTGTAGCAATCGATCCTACATTAGCAACCATAAGATATGTCGCTCCCTCTCTAAAGTACCGACGCACCCGCATACGTCATACCCACACAACATACGCCCAACATGACGGGAAGCACGAGATCGAGTCGGACGACCCGTTCCCGTTCCATTCGCGTCGAGGCGAACGCGAGAACGGACAAACCCCACGCTCGGAAATTAACCAGCGAGGGCGACAGCTGCCATCGATGCATCGAAGAAGGCGAAAGGTGTCAGCGGAGGATACTGGTGAGCCATTGATAGCGCATCTTACGCCACATTAGCGCACTGCGAGAAGTCTCGTGATGGTGACACGAGTAGAGCGCACCCGCATCGTCTCGTTGCGGTGGTATGTACGACGAGATGAGCGTGTCGTGCCTTTACGTCACCCACGTCGCTTCTTTATAACGAGCAACTGCATCACGCACATGCATAGTGTACCAGGGAAGAAGAAGAAGATGATGATGAAAGAGAGAGATTCATGACTATCTATTACACATGATGATTATGCGCTAGAAGTCTGAAATCTTCTAAGCCGAGAATACAGCGTCGGTCGCGGCGGTGGTTCATGGCACCCCTCTAGTGGTAGCGAAACCCCGCTAGCCTCAAGAGTAAAAAGTTCAAGGGAGGCATGTAATCTAGCCCCTTGAAGCACTGTCGCCGCTTCTCTATGTTCACGCATAGCCAAGGCCGAAGAAGAAGAAGAAGGAGAGGCGGGTCGTCTTCGTCATGTTGTCGAGGACGTAGTGCATACCACGAGTGGGTATCTGGCCCATCAAGTGCGTAGCGACAGGTTCGTCCATCCCGCCAAATGATCCCAATATTTGCAGCGACAAGACGGTGGCTTCTAGAGGGATCACCACCGCATCCGCGCGTCTCGGCCGCCAATCATTGATCGATTCCTACGTCCAAGACATTGGCTACAGAACGTCGAAGCAGACTCGCGCAGCTGCAGCAGTGTGAAGTCCCTGAAAATGGTCAAATGCCTGCCATGCACAGAGCTCCCGAGCTTGCTGCGCGTCCATCTGCCGGTCGTGCCGTTCTTCCTCCCAATATCATCGCCACATGACTTACCGCAACAGCGCAAGTGACAGCCCATCCCCACTGCTTCTCCGGCTTTAGGCCAGGCTACGTTCCGAGAGCCCATCCGCGATGTTCCCTGGCGAGCGAGCCAGTGACCCATTTACCAATCCACGCTCGGTCGATCGCCAGCTGGGATCCCGTGACTCTGGTCCGAAGAGCGCTCAGCCAATCTGCGTGCTGCCAGCGCTGAGGTCCACTGCCAGCTGGTGCGCTGGAACGTCCTCGTTTGTCAGATGGATGTTTTCCTGGACCGTGGCTTGTTGTTGTCCTGTGCAGGAGGCGACTCTGCCCAAGACGTGGCATCGAGCTGCACATTCTTTGAGCTTTTGTTGCATCTGTTCCCCGACAGTGGACCGATCGTCACCGTCCGTCGAGACGTCGTCGTTCCCCTTACCTGAACCGAGCACGTGCTTGTCAAAGGCAAACGACGGCGTTTTTACAGCCTCATTGGCGCACGTTGCCACGACATCAGCTGCGACTCGAGACACAAACGAGTCCTTCGCGGTCGCGTGCCCCACACGTCAAATTGCTGGCCATCGACGGCACAAGTGGTTCAGGTGATCAAGCACACGCGCGAAAACTACACGTTCCAAGAATGCGTATTCGATACGTGGCCATCGCAGCAGCTGCTGCTACTCTAGCTGCAAGTACTCATGGCCGTCAAGCTATCCCCAGTGCGGCCGAGTCTTCACCGTTGCTACAGACGATCTCCGAGACCAGACATCAGTCCTTTGTGAACGGCAAGACCGACCGGTTCCTGACAAGTACCGACAAAGACGAGGCACCGCTCATGGTGGCCCCAACTGGCTACGCGTCTTCAGTGCTGCAGGGAGGTGGCAACCGCAGGCACTTGCGAGGCAACAACGCCGATGGTCACGATTCAGATAGTTCCTCGGAGAGCTCCGAGCATGGAAAAGAGGAGAAGCCTGGCGTGTTTACAAGACTGTATCGTCGCTTCTGGGCCTGGTCTACAGAGGGGAAGACGAGATGACCGCCAGCCAACGCTGACGCCTAATCTACCGACCGCCGTCCGTCCAGCCTCGACCTGGTCAGTGGGGGTCCACACATGCTGACTTGTCATCAAATGAGCCTGTGAACAAGTGACCCACCTTGCGTGCGGTTGTGGATGCGTGAGTGGACGTGACCGGTCTTCTGTTTGTCAAGTCAATGGGTTGGCGCGGTGCACACGTCGAGGGTCGTGGTTGAAATGGTTCGTAGTTGAAGTAGTTTGCATTCTCCGAACCACAACTAGAAATGTACTGTATGCTCTACCACTGGTGTGAATGATTCGTTGCAGCGCGTGTTCGTGTAATGGTGCCAATGACTCGCGTGAAGCACGTCGCACAGCTTGTTGCGTGTGTCTCTGGCTTTGCTCGTCGATCGAGTAGCCACCTGTCAATGCCATGGCGCGCACTCCTCATCTTCTCCCCGTAATGTCTCCCGACAGATACCTGTGCTATCCAGCGAGCTGGACTTGCCCATTACGACCTGGTCGTCCTGATCAAAGCAGGATCGCACTGTCGAGTCGTGGTCGAGTACACCACTCCTCCGAGAGCTTGACATCATTAAAGGCAGCTTGAACCACGCATTCCACGGTAGAGACCGAGCATTCGCCAGTCGTTATAACCGATGCTCACACAGCAGTAGGGAGCACTATTTGCAGCTTCTATTGCCATGTGCTTGTGCTGTGAGCTTTGTTCTCCATTCTCCAGATACGTCGTGAGCACTACACGATCGTTTCGCAAAAGTGTGTTGTGGTCTACTTCGTACCCGCCTTCTCCTCGTACCCCGCCGTCTACAATTGTCCTCCCAGCTCCCGCAACAAATTCTGTGACGCACCACCTGCATAAAAAACATCTCATCACGTCAACGCAAACATTCGCTGACAAAAATCGCTTGCGCTCCCTTGGCGTACCTTATTTTACGACTCTTCTGTCAAATGTACGCACCGCCGACTTAGACGCAATACCGCCCCTGACCATCACCATTCAAAAACTTCACTAAAAGCAATAGTCGTTTGCAATCTATTTGATAAATTACGAATGCAGTTTCCCACGAATCACACACACACCCGCCCGACCTCGTTGCGTCTTCGAGCATAGAAAGACCCACCCACGTTTCTAACCGTGTCCAAACGAGCCATGTCAGCCGACGAAGAAAGCCCGCACGACCGCGAGAGCGCTGCTGCCTTCCCCCGCTGCATTGAGTGCGGCGGCTTCGGCCTAGCGCTTGTCACAAACCCGCAGAAGATCTGCACGCACTGTGCGCGTGTGAAAAAGGTCTTTTTCGATCCAGATCGCAACACCTTTTGCCGAGACGAAGGCTTTGTGGACATTTCGCCCTCGGCGGACGGCGGTGTGCTGAAAAAGGTTGCTTCATTTCTATTTCGTTTCTATATGTCGTGGTCGATTTCTGAGACCGATTTCTGACAGGTGGGTCGATTGTATACGTATACTAAATCTATGTGTCGTGTTTTTGACGCACTGGCATGGGTATTTGTAGATACTTCGCGAGGGACAGAGCGGGAAACGACAGCTGGAAGAAGGCTGTCCGACATTTGGTAGGAGTCAGCATTGTTGTGTATTTTTTGACGTTTTTGGATAATGATTTGGACAATTCTTGGGTGTCGTTTTTGACGTCGTGTTGTTGTCGTTTTTGGCATCGATTTGTGGGCGCTTTTCGATAGTGCAATATGTAGGCCGCCTGATGGACGGCTCTATTTTTGACACAACGTGCGGAAACGCATCTCTCAGTTGCGCTTGATTCCATCATCACGTATGACTGACTTCTGTCGTACTGCAGACGTGATATGATTGACGGGAAGCACGTGGGTGGAACGGATGACCCGTTCGAGTTTCAATTGGGCCGAGGTGAGAGCGCGGACGAAGTTGCTGAGACATGAAACAGCGTCGACTGATGGGTTTGATCGGATGTGCACGCTACAGAGAAGGTGATCAAAGGATGGGATATTGGCGTAGCCACGATGAGTGTGGGCGAGGTGGCACGATTTATCATTGCTCCAGCGTACGCGTACGGCCATGAGGGATTTGCGCCGAAAGTGGAACCAGACGAGACGCTCGATTTCGAAATTGAGCTACTGAGCTTCAAGGTGCATGTTCGCTACGGTGGCTGTTGTTCGTGCACAAGTCATGATACTGATCGGCGATGTCTTGCGATGGCTCATCTTCGTGAAAGGACCCTTTGCCCCGTTTTCCAACGCAAGCAGAACTCGCTGAATCCCGCAAGAAGCAGAATGAAGAGGACCAGAAGTTGCTGGAGGAGAACCCGCCGCCCACAGTAGGTATGTACAATCGAAAGGTTGTGCATTGATCAAGCGATGAGTGCTGACTACGCACGCTTCTGCGCTATTTGCACTAGATGAACGCATCGAATGTGCGTTGGAACAGAAGGAGAAAGGGAATGCCTTGATCGCTAATCACGACTACGACCAGGCGCAAAAGTGCTACGACTCGGTGAGTCCGTATGTTTTGTTGGCGTCGTCGGAGTTCAAGTGGCACAAGGCGTCCTCCTGACATTCGTGTGGTCTTAGGGTTTCGTGCACGTGTTTTACGCAAAGGAGGAGTGGGAGAATCTGGTGTCTGACGAAGACAAAGACAAGGTGAACAAAGTCAAGCTGGTGCTCTACCTCAACCGAGCGCTGTGTAAGATCAAGCTCGGGAAGATCGAGGATGCGCTGTGGGACTGCGATCAGGTAGGTGCATGCTCAATACGTCGATTGAAACGAACTGTTCTCAGGCAGCTCGCGTACACAGGCAATTCTGCTTGATTCGAGCAACAGCAAGGGTCATTTCCGCCGGGGTCTTGTGTTTACCGAAAAGCTGAAGAGCGAGCTGGACAAAGAGAGCAAAGGCGAGTTCTGGATTGTTGACAAGGGCTTCGAGTATGCTTCCGAGGCAGAACGGAGTTTTGACAAGGCAAAGCAGCTCCTTGGCGACGCCAATGACCGCAAATTATTACACGCGTTAGCCGATCTGAAGCGAAACCATGTATGCATCACTTTCGGTTGTTGATGATCGGCTCTGGTCGTGTCTGACCCGTTGGATGTTGGCTGTGCACAGGCGCTGTTGAACAAGTACGCTGCCAAGTACAAAGAGGATGAAAAGAAGCTGTACAAGGAAAAGATCTTTGACCGCTTGGAGGCCAAGAACAAGGAGCTGGAGAAGCTGGAGAAGTTGAGAGCCGAGGCCACAGAGTTTGATGATATGCCTGCGCTCGAATGAGCTATGACCTGGTTGCTGCAACGAAGCAGCAATAACATCGATTCACATCTGGTGACGCTCACTTGCTTTCGTCTATTTCAAAGTGCTATTGATCCTATCTTTCGACAGATGTGAGTAGCTAGCTGTTACAGGCCCTGCTCATCATCCGACTCGATGTCACCGTACTGCCACATGCAAAGACGCTGCTTCTTCGCGGATTCCTGGGCGCCTAGCAGACCGTCGACAACAGACTTCTGGAACGGCAGAACCTCGCGGAGTGCCTTGCGGTCGGTGCGCAGCAAACCCGCTTCGACTAAACTGCTCGAGACACTTTTGCCTCCCGGTAGGTACAGGGATACCTGCATGGAACCATGGTCGCCAACGCTGTGGACGCAGCACGAAAGCGTCTTTCCCCACGCAAGTTCGTTGAGACGCATGGCAGCCCCAGCTCCGAACTCGTCTGTGGCCGCCAAGGGCTTGATCCAGGCAAAGGTGGCCTCTCTGGCCTGGGGAGGGAACTGCAGCACGTCGGCATCGAGCGGACGCAGGCGGTTGGCCGTCACGGTCGTCATGTTACCATAGTCGAGGAAGCGGACACGGGCAGATCCATCTGGGTGGACATACTCGACCTTGACACGGTTCCACGCAAGCCCTCCGCCGTCGTCGAACAGGGCAGCACACACGGCATTGCGGCGCACCTCGAACGCCTTGCCCGCGAGTCCGTGCACCCGTGTAAATGCTTTCATCTTCTCCTCCACAGCAGCACAATTGCGGTCGCCCACATTCTGAATATAAAAGTGGGTACCGTTGATGATCTCTGAGAGCTTCACGCGCGGAATCAAGTCGTCTTTCGTCTTCACTTGCTTCTCCTGAGCAGCCTTAGCGGCAGCTTGGGCGTCGTGCGTGGCCCAGTAGTTTTTCTTCTGCGTCTTGGCGCGCTCCTCAGCACGCTGCAGCACGTTGCCCAATGCAGTGCGCTCCACGCTGAAAGAGTCGACCCAAGCAAGACCTTCTTCGAGCAGACGCAAGCCAAAGTTGTGCTGGTCTTCACGCGAGGGCTTACCGCTGCCATTCGGCACCACAAACAAAGGACCAAACGCGTTGCCACCGCGGTCCATGTCTTCGATTTCTACCATCACCTCACGCTGCATGACGCCGCGCTTCGTGAACAGCTTGGCCTCTTCGCCGAATGTTTCTGCGGGTGCTACGATCACGCCTTGAGCGCCGTGGCGGGCAGGCTGCGGGCACTTGATGCCGGCGATCATGTAGTTTATCAGACAGTTTTCCTTTGGAACGAAGAGCTTCATGCGCGTGGCCGAGTACACGTGCTCCACCACAGCACGGAGGGAGCGCTCACGTGTCAGGAAAGGCAAAAACTGCTTGGCTTTCGTGGCGTCGAAACAGAGGTCCGTCACACGACGCACAGCAGCAGGGGGCTCCTTGGACGAGTGCAAGTTCTTCTTCTGCGTCTGTGCCTTCGTCTCTGCGGTCACGAGATCGTCATAGTATTCGCTCTTCTCCTCTTCGGGACGGTGACGCACCACTTCGGCCAAGCCAGCAGCGACAACGTCCACAGCCAGGTTCGCCCCCTTGGCGTGCGGGTCCTTCTTCACGGCATTAGCCGACGGCTCGAGGAACACCGAGGCAAACACCATCGCGTCACCCTGACCCGACGGACTGGGTTTCTCGTACTCCACCTCAACGTGCACCGTCTTTGCAATAGCTCGGTGGCGCAAGAACTCTTTGGCTTCCACAGCGTACGGTGCATTGGTCTCGCCACGACGTTCGTTGCCGAGACGCGGCGCACGCAGCGAGCTCAAGTAGATCCGCTTCTCCTGTGCAGCGGGCGTTGCTTCGCTCGGAACGTAGACAACGAGGCAGTCGCCACTAATCACTTCGACAACAGTGCCCGTCAGGTGCTTGGCCGAGTGCAGCGTCGGGGCCTCGTAGTCCCGCCACACGCGCAGCTTTTGCTGCTTGGCGCTTCTCTCGGCCGCCCGCATGGCGCTGCGCTCGGCGGCGCTCGTGAACGACGAGCTCCAGTCGGCCATCCGCCCAAATCCGTTCTTCAGCAGCTCGACACTGATATTGTGGCCAGAAGGGTGCACAATGCTGCCGAGCAAGTTGCCATACTTGTCAGCGCCTTCGACCCGAAGCTCCACGTCCCGATGCAGCAGTCGCACTTCAGTAAAGTGCTTTGCTTCGCGCGCGTGCGGCGCAGCAACTGCTGCTACGTCACCCACCGACTGCACGCGCGGGCACTGCACGCCAGCCAACGCAAAGCTCACGACCTGCAGCGTGGGCTTCAGCACCACGCGGAACGACGCGCCGTCCCGCACGTAGTCCACCAGCGCCGGCACCAGTCGGCCCTTGAACTGCTGCACGAGCGCGGGGCCGTCGGCGCCGCTCCACTTGAGCGTCCCATCGACCGCCTGCGCGCTCGCGGCGTACATGCCGCGCTTCTCGCGGACCGCGTCTTGCTCGTGAAGTAGCATCGTGGCGTGGTCCACGCAACTCCCCTCGCGGCACTGCGCGAGCGACTTGACCGTTGCCCAGCCGGCCCGCGCCTGCACGACGCAGAGGTTCTCGCCCTCGTGTCGACCCGTCGTGGCCGGCGGGAGGAGCCACACCGAGCCAAAGTCGCGGCCAATGCTCGCCACGCGGTACTCGACTTGGAACCGCACGGCTTTGCCAATGCACAGGCGCCGCAGGTGCTCGCGACTGGCAAAGGCAAAGGGCTCTGAGCTCTGCTCGCTCGAGTGCGCGAGGCGCGGCGCCTGGAGCGACGACAGCGTGAGCACAAGTTCGGGCGGCGGGCCGTTTGTGGCCGTGGCGCCCATGAGCACGAGCGTGTCGCCCGAGAGGACGGCCTTGACGATGGCTTGACCCGACGCCATTGGGAGCGAAGAGGCGACTGACTGACTGAGAGAGAAAGAGCGAGTGAAAGAGTGGCGAGATGCATGTGTGTGTGTGTGTGTGTGTGTGTGCGGTCGAGAGGGGACGTTGGGGAGCTGCTCGTAGCGCTACTTTTGGACGCGCGGGGTGAAAAGAGGGACACGTGGGTGGGATCGGTTTATGGAGGGGCGGGCGAGCAGATTTGTTAAAACGGACAGTCGGAATAGGGTGGGCGGTTGAACAGGCGTTGACGGACAGAGCGAGAGGCAGAGAAAACGTGCGATATAAGTCGAGTCACGGCGCGGGAATCGAGTCGGTGGGGGACAAGCGCGCGAAATGACGTGGACGACTTGACCTTCGAGCAAGTCGGGAAGGCAAACGTTGCAGTGGCGAACGCTTAGGTACGTGGGCACACGACAGCACGCCAACTGGTCGAGTCGTTGGGGATGCAAGCATTGGATTTCGTGCGTGGGCAAGAGTCGGTGCACCAGAACGGGATCGATCGCTGACGTGGTAGCGCATACGTCGGGTCTTTTTTATTGCTTCCTCCGCGTTGCCCATCCTTCATACTTGCGTTTCCTGCGTAATGGTCCAACAAGTGACACGAGTGAAGAACCTCGACAGCTCCTTTGCGACGTCCATTTAACTAATGTCCTTCCCTGATCTGGCCGTGAAACATGCAAAATCGACGCTCAAGGGAAGTCGCAACGCACACTGAATACACGCTTCAAAAAGGATGACACACATCAGGAGATTTACAGACAGGATCTACTGATGTGTGTCATCCTTTCTACAAAATGGTCAATGCGTGAGCTCTCAGCTCGTCGACTTAGCATCACGGATCGCTCATTCGAAACGTCTCTTCGTTCGTAGTCGTGTGACAGACATTATGTACGTGTCAGTCCACAGTGAATTGGTGGAAAGAGCAAGTAGCGACTTCACTGAGAAGAATGGTGGTGTTAGAAGATAGAAGGGCGACACAAAAAAGAAGCAGCTTGACCTTTGCTCACGATCATGCGCTACCTATGACCACATTGCTACCGTGACATGCTCTGACATCCAGTAACCAAGATCTTGGACCGTAGATTGCAATCATTGTTCAACGGCTGACACAAGCGGATAAACAATGACGCCCTATCCATCAGCAATCGCCGCGTGGTCACATCAATCGGTATCATCTACCGGGATGGACTAGTCTGTCGCTACCTCAAGGTGAGACGAGCACGTTCTTTGAACCAATATGTAACGGGGCACACCCTTGCGTGAACTTAACGCAAGGGTTTCGGGTGCCCCGACAGACGTACACGAGGCGAACGAGGAAGCGTGGGTGAGGAAAAAGTAAAACTGTTGTATTAATATAATTAAGTCTTTTTGCTACTGTCTCTCTGTTTAACCTGACTTAATTATGTTAATATAACTGAGTGTATGGTGACGTCTCGTCACCACTCATTGCGCGCGTCCTGCGGCGATTGGTGGGTTGATATCATCACGATATCAACCAATGAGCAGACCCTTTGGTCGCTTCACCAATATCACCATTATCGGTGATATTGTTCGAAGAATATTCACTTAATATTCTTTGTTGTCACTTTCTTTTAAAGTGACACTTCCATGTAACGGGCTGCCCCGTTACACAATATGCTGATCATGCGCGACGTCACGGAAAATGTAACGGGGTGAGCCCGTAAACAAAATTGATACGAATGTATCAACTTTTGGATATTATCTATTCAGATAATATACAATCAACATTACTCGAGAAGAAGTAATGTCGGCAGAATGTTACCCCCGAGGGTAATATTCTTGGGTGCCCCACTTGTTGGTTGATGTAGACGCTACACCAACCAAAATAACCACCAATCGCTGCCGGACGCGCGCAATGGTTGGTGAGCAAGAAATCCACATAGGAGATTGTAGTTTAACATAGTTCGATTACGACAAAGATGGTGAAGCAAACAAACTTAACTATTAAATACAGTTCTACTTTTTCCTTAAACATAGCCACCGAGTTCTGTTTACTTCCACATGGTTACTCATGCAACGCGTACGTGAAGTCGGAAGTACTCTGCCTCGTGCTCTATAAACACAAAGTCTTACCAATCATCTGGTAAGAGCGTGCCACGTTACAGGTAAGATAACGTTTAATATTAGCTTTTGCGCGAGTTAGAAATTTCCGGCAATTTCCAAAGCATGATCCCAACAGAAGCAGAAGCACTGGTGCTGGTGCCGTTGTCTACGTCTGGATGACGTCACGATCGCAAGCTTTCGTTTACTTCTTCCCCACTAACTTGTCACGGCTCGGCGACAACAAGATAATTGGACTGTTTGGCTGTTGGTGCGGACGAATATGCACGCCACGCTTAACTCTCTTTGCGAGCTGTCTCGCAACGAAATCGCTCTACAGTTGAGTTTCACTCGAGTCAACACCTTGCGACTCCTTACAATGCGTTAACAAACCGTAACATGCGCATTTTAGTAAGGATTTTCGCTATAAAATCAAGCGGGTAAAAGGACTGATACAAGGTGATGTACCAATAATGCACCACAAGCTTTGCTATCCGAGTAATATTTTTCCCGTGAATCCTGTTGACGATGAAACCTCAGCGAGAGCTCACATGTTGTGCTAATGTAACCGTCACTGCATGGGGGTTACATGTCTGTTGACAATCGGTATAAATGTGTGGTTCACACCTGGTATGAAATCCTATTGAAAGTGATAGTGGAACATTATATCAGTTTGCCGGGGCTGACGTGTGTCAGATACCAGATACAAGATCTTTAATATAGGGTACTACTTTAGGCCATTAGTGTCTATATTAGGTAAGTTTAGGCTAAGGTGTCGTTTCACACAAAACCAAATTACAGTTCAGTTCCCCTTTTAATCTGTTGGAGACACGCGCCCTGTTAAGGCGTCTCAGGTCTTGTAAAGAAAAATTCAATCCTTGTTAAGGTGCATACTTTACGCACTTTGTGCTGTTTATTCGTTAAACTGTTTGCTCCCTTGAACAAGATATGGAGCTGTAAGCTCGTTGACTCGTAGAGTACTACGTCTGAGTCTGCAACGACTGATCCTCTGTGAGGACGGAATACCCACCTCTCTCTCTGAGCCCCAGAAGGTCGCGCTAGATAAGCTCACTACGGCTGTGGACCCGGAGTATGTGGAGCTCCTTGTATCGCGATAACCGAAGGCGCTGAACGCACGTTTTAAGACCTTTATGCAGTACAAAACGACCCTTGTAGGGCATGTACAAGATCTAATGGCGTCGGCTGTGCCAACACGCTTTGTTTCTGTATCAGACAAAGAGGATAAATTAAGTCTCGTCAAATCGGACATTAAATTCTACTTGGGGAAAAGAGAAAAAAACCGTTCTCTGGATCTGCTAGGTAGAGATGTTCCATAAGTTGGGCATGGTCCTGACTGAGTATCTGTGGGTCGCGGTACCGATCAACACGCTCGTTGGTAGAGCGAAAGAGTGGAAATTACGTTCATTGCGTCTGTCAATGAAGCCATCTACACATGGGAGAGTTTAAGGCTCAGCTTATTACTTTTGCGCCACCATACCAGGCATACCGCGTGCGATCATGCTTCTCCTCTGCCCGTCAGGGCAAGAATGAGCTATCGTACTATGTCCAAAAACTAAGAACGATCATAGCTGCTATGCAGAGTGACCCTCACCCAGAGGTAGTCCATGTGACGGTGTTGATGAAATGTCTTCGTCCTGGTCTCGCCAGAACTGAAGTCTTTCGTGTTTATCCCACTACATTGGACGAGGCTGTCGAGATAGCGCAATATGAGGACTACAACTTCTACCACAATAAGATTTGTTGGAACGGGTATACCCAAGCTTTAGTCGAGCAATCTCTATATCGATGAGCACACCAATGTTCTCTGACCTAAACCTATGGACATTAGCAACGCTGAACGTGATGGTGAAAATAAAGCTGAGCTCAAGTCGCTATAGAACAACGTGACTACCATCGCTTATAGACGTGCGGAAGCATTTACATCCAGGATGTCGATTTCACAAACAGCTTCAGAATTGTGGAGAAGCGCCGGAGAATAATGATGGCAATCGTGGATCGCGACCACCGCATTAAGTGCGAGATCGATTTGATTGGTGGAGTGCGCTCGGAGATAGGTCCGTTGGTACGCATGATGGGATCAAATGACTGAGTGACAGAAAACGACTGTGGAAATTATGCTGATTGATCTACTCAATGGTCAAGAAGGAGTATCGATAAGGATCGACGACTGACCGATCACGATTTGCGATCAAGGGCTTGGATCACCAAGTTACAAGAACCGGATCGCTCAAGGGGTGAACATCAACTGGAATACTGGATCGATGACGACAATGGAAAATAGATGAATATGAAAGCAAGCTGTAAGAGTGGATCGCCAAAGTCATAAAACATGCGAGGTCTCAAAAGTAACGGCGATTCGACGGTGGATACCCCGATCAGAGACTCGAGAGATTGATCGCGATCCACCCTGGGTGTGTAATGTTTGATTGTGTGGACACATAATTGTGTGGACACATAATTGATGTTAATCAAATACCGCGATCCACTACCCAAGCGATCCACCCCCGAGCGATTTACCACGGAGCGATCCACTACCCGAGCGGTCCACCACCTAGCGATCCGCCACCCGAGTATCTGCTTTGGACCACATAATGCACGAGGCAAATTACATAGAAAGGCGATACGCAACAGTGATCGAGCGAACAGATAGGTATAGTCATAGGTTTGTGATTTGGTTAGTTGGCATCAAACAGATTGAATTTGCAACGAAAGACACGCGCCGACTTCTCCCGGGCACGAAAAAAATGGCCTCCCGTCGGATAGAGAGTAACTCGCGTCTCTGCAAACTTCGTCCTTGTATTGGGTGGCCAGGCGGAACGTCAGTTCTCACCCCCCCCCCCCAACTGCGACCGAACGCAGGGAACCTAACGGTTCAGATTCAAGACCGCGAGACGGATCAAGTGGTAAGAAGGCTCGC